GAAATTTCGTTTAAATCACATCAATCAACACCAAGTATTGCAAATAATTCATTATCATGGACTGTCATCTGAATTACTAAAAGATGTGCCTTATGGTGTCAGAAATGAGCGTGGGAAACTAATGCTCGGCCCATTTCGTGACTATGATAATGATCACATCTTAAAAATTGGAAATCATAGTTTGAAAAAAACTCCAGGCTTAAAAGAGTTATTGTTTAAAAAGCTACCAAATTTAGATATTGTGACAGAGGAAGACTTACAAAATTATAAATTGTTACTTTTGCATACGAATGCACACAAACGTAATTATGATCCGTCCAAACCGATTAACAGTAACAAAGGATTTAAATATATGCAAGTGATGAAACCATTGTTTGAGCACTCGAGAAATCATAAAAGTAGTGCAGAAAGTCCTCCAAAGGGAGAAGGAGCTGATATTTTAAAAGAAGTTAAAAAAGATACTGATTTGATTTACTGAAACGATCCAAACGAGTTAGTGGAACGATTAAAATTACTACTTGCATCATGGGCAGCTGGTAAAACAGAGGTTTACTTTGAAATTTATGCAATAGTGGAAGAATTGCATGAATCTGTCATCATAAAAGACATTAAATATATTAAACTGCCTACAGGAGGATTACGCAGTACCATTTCATTACAGAAGCCGATAAGATAAGATAAGACGGCTATGAATATAGACAAATTTGGTCATCATGTTCATAAGCGTTTACGACTATCTGAATGCTCTAATATTCTCAGTGACGCTTTAGTAAGAACAGACGCTGGTGATTTTGATTTGAAATCAACAAGATTAAAAGGACTGCAAACTACATACTAAAAACTGCATCCTGAAAAGAGGATGAGGCCGTGAATAAAGAATATGTGGATAAATGTGTTCAAGAACTTAAAAATGAAATGAAAACAATTCACGATAATGTCAAAAAGTACCTTAACAATTTAGTAAAATTGACTACTATCAATTTCAGGACAATGTATTACACTTAAGAGGAAATTGAACTCATGATTACATCAAAACCTGCCCAAAATGAGTAAACAAGCTATAGTCGATGAGCTTCACAAAGCAGCAAGAAGAAATTTTTCTCGTCAATATACGATTATTAAAGAAATAGATGATTTATGGCAAGCTGACCTGATTGATTTTCAAAAATATTCCACGTTTAATAAAGGATATAAATATGTTCTAGTAGTAATCGATGCTCTATCAAAATACATATGGGTTAGACCATTGAAAACGAAACATAAAAATTGTGTCGAAAATGCGACGCAAAGTTTATTATCCGTATCAAGACGGAAACCTAAAAATTTACAAACAGATCTTGGTACAGAGTTTTATATAATGATTCTTTTAAGAATTTACTAAAAATTTATAATATAAATCATTATTCTACGTACTCCGTTAAAAAGGCCTCCATTGTAGAACGAGTAATAAGAACTTTAAAAACTCGCCTTTACAAAATATTCAGTCTATGCGGACGATATCAATGGTTCAAAAATCATTTACATTTTGTTATAAAGCGGTATAATAATACTTTACATCGCATTACAAAATTCAAGCCTATCAACTTTAATGATTCAAATGCGATTTTAGTTATGTCAAACACCAAGAAGTCTCAAAAGCCTAAGATACGTCAAGGACCAGCGTTTCACGCTGGTGATTACGTTCGTATAAGCAAATACAAAGGAGATTTTTACAAAGTTTATACCCCTAATTGGTCTACAGAAATATTTCGTATCGTTAAAGTCAACCAAACCAATCCTCAAACCTATCAAATAAAAGACAAACACAATCAAAAAATTCTAGGCTCTTTTTACGGTTACGAATTACAAAAAACTAAATTTCCAGACCTTTATCTTATTGAAAAAGTCATTAAAAGAAAAGGAAATAAGCTTTTAGTAAAATGGTTAGGTTTGAGTGATGAAGAAAATAGTTGGGTGGATAAAAGTAAATTAGTGGTTTAGGTATATAAATAACGTATTATTACTTAAAAATGTCATTTTATATTTATCGATGAAGGAAGGTAGTGGTATAATTAATAATTTAATAGACAATTTACCGTTTGAGTTACATTCACCCGGCTACCAAATTTTTTTTTTTTTTATAGCAGAGGGGGCAAACGAGCATGCGGCTCACCTGATGGTAAGTGACTACCGCCGCCCATGAACAACCGCAACACCAGGGGAATTGCAGATGCGTTGCCGGCCTTTTAAAAAGGAGTAGGCTCTTTTCTTGAAGGTCCCTAAGTCGTATCGGTCCGGAAAAATCGCTGGTGGCAAACTATTCCACAAGGAAGTTGTGCGAGGAAGAAAACATCTTCTAAATCGCACAGTGGTGGACCGCCAATCATCCAGATGGTGTGGATGGTATCGAGAGTTCTGCCGCGATGTGCGTTCGTGAAATTTGGCGGCTGGGATTAATCCGAACAATTCCTCAGAGCACTCCCCATGGTAAATGCGAAAGAAAATGCTAAGAGATGCAACATCTCTTCGCAGTGCCAATGAGTCGAGCTGATCGGAAAGGACTCGGTCGTCGACGATTCGAGCCGCTCTGCGCTGGATGCGGTCAAGTGGAAGAAGCTGGCACTGGGGAGCCCCTGCCCAGAGATGGGAACAGTATTCCATGTGAGGCCGAACCTGCGCCTTGTAAAATTGCAGGCGTTGAGCCGGCATGAAATACTGTCCCGCTCTGCTGAGCACGCCAAGCTTTTTAGAGGCCAATTTGGCCTTCTCTTCCAAGTGACCACGAAACTGCACGCTACTCAATATGTCGACGCCGAGGATTCCGATACTGGCTGAGGCAACAAGGGGAGTACCTTGAAACTGAGGAGATACGACAAAGGGGTTCTATTTAGCGGTAAACGCGCAAACTTGTGTCTTCTGAGGATTAAACTGGACTAGATTTAGTCGCCCCCAATCCGAGACTTTGTCCAGCAAAGACTCGACTTCAGACACAAGCTTGTTCCGGTACTCAGTGACGTTTTCCCGAGAAATATTGGCACGGCCGGTGTATAGAGCATCACCAGTGCCGTCATCCGCATAGCAATGAATGCTACCGGCTTGCAACATATCATTGATATGCAGAAGAAACAGCGTTGGTGATAGCACGCAGCAAGTTTAGTTCCCGGGCCGCAAACTTCAAAAACGGTTACTCAAAGGGGATCGTGGGATAAACAAATTGGATGAAGCGTGCATGCTCCATAATATTGCTTACACTAACAAAGATTCGGGCGCTCGACAAAAAGCGGATTTAGAACTTTTGAAAATGGCTAAGAGGAGGTTGAAATCAGAAGATGCTAGGAAAGGAGAAAAACTTGCCTCATGGATAGTCAAAAATGCGATGAAAGCGAAAATCCAGGTGGGGAACGGTATAAAAGCATTTAAGAAGGGGATAAAAAAAAATACAGTCTCAGCTGAAAAAACTAAAATCCAAAAACAGTCACTTGGCTATGAAATATGCCTATGCAGCTGCAAAGAAAATATTTAGTAATAAAAAAGGAATAAGTTTACCCCGTTGTATTCCTCTTCCAAAGTGTGGAGGATTTTTACCACTTATTCCCATATTTGCAGGATTGTCAGGTTTAGGATCATTAGCCGGTGGAGCAGCGGGTATAGTAAAAGCCGTTAATGATTCAAAAGCAGCACAAAAGTGTCTTCAGGAATCTGCAAGACACAACAGAATGATGGAAGCCGTTGCTCTAGGAAAAGGATTATATATTAAACCTCATTAACAAGGAGCAGGTTTATATCTTAACCCCTCACAAAACTAATTAAACGGCTACCCAGACGGGCACTCACTAATCTCGATATATTAGAACATGCAAGTGACATTCCATACTTTCGCGGCGTTTTCATGAGAAATATTTACCTTTGAAACCGAGAAAGATAGAATGTGGAATACTGAATTTGGATAGCTACAGAAATCCTGGAACGCATTGGGTAGCCTTTGTAAAGCACAATAAATACGTAGAACATTATGATAGTTTTGGTAATTTAAAGCCCCCGTTAGAATTAGTTAAATATATGCATAACTTACCTATTAACTATAATTATGCACGACATAAACCGTTTGGTGCTTCAAACTGTGGACATCTTTGTCTAAAATTTTTAAGGAATTACTGGAAAAAGCATTTATATAGTGTATGAAATAAATAAACGTATCAGTATAAAAATGTCTTTCACTGTGTCTATAACTGGGACAGGAGCCTCTTTATCAACGAACTGTTCACCGACAATAGAACTACGAGGATACTACGAATGTGGTCTTTTGTATTTTCCAACTTTCAATTCTATTCCCAATAGAGATGAAAGAAACAATAAATTTTATTATGGTGAAAAAGAAATGATAGAAATGCCTGAAGGGTCTTACGAGCTTCTAGATATTTGTGATTATCTAAAAAATAATATTAAGAACGCTGTACAAAAACTAACTTGTAACAATAATACATTGAAAACAAAATTTTTTTGCTCTGAAGATGTGCACTTTAATAGAAGCGAATCACTGGGTAAAATTTTAGGCTTTGGTATGGAAACAATAAAAGCAAATATAAGTACTGAATCAAAGTATCCTGTCAGTATTCTATCGACAACCATCCTGCGGATTGAATGCGATGTAGTTAGTGGTTCATTTGTCAACGTAAAAGCAAGCCATATAATTTTTGAATTTGCACCTAATGTACCACCTGGTTATCGAATAATTGAAATACCCAGAAACTTGATTTATTTTCCTGTTAACCAAAATTCCATAAGTGCTATCAATATAAAGTTATTGAACGCTGAGAATAAAGAAATAAATTTACGAGGTGAAGAAGTACAACTGTGTTTACATTTCCGAAAAAAAATATGATAAATTTCAATGAAAGCCCGTCTACTTCGTGTATCCAAGCCAGTTTTAAAAGAAGATCTCATAAAGGCACACCTCTTCAGCTAAAAAAGAAGCTTACCAAGTCTAACAAAGAATTTCTTAAGCTAGTTGGCTTGATAAAATGAATATTTTAAACGTATCTCAACAAACATCATACGATAAAAGCATTGAAAGTTTTGAGTATCATTCATACAAACCATATGTAACTAGTTTTAACAAGAATGACGAAATACGTATTCCTATTAATCAAAAAGACCTGTACGTACTACCTTTACTCAGTAGTTTATATATCGAGGGAAAGGTGAAGGTTTATAACAGCACCACAAAAGAAAAGGTATCAAACCTACATTTTGTTAATAATCCCGTACTATTTCTTTTTCAAGACATACGATATGAACTTAATGGAGTGGAAATAGATAAAATTAAGAATGCTGGTGTTACTACTACAATAAAATCTTATCTATCCTTAAATTAAAATGAATCCAAATGTGCTCGAGTTTAGGGCTGGTCAACTGGCGGAACAAGCAATACTAGTGGTGGAGCGTTTTCCGCATCTATACTATTGAACAAGATATGAGGATTTGCAGAAGATTATGAAAAAATTATAATTAATTGTAAACATGAGTTAGTATTATTACGAAGCAATACAAATCTTAATGCGATCAAATTAAATACAGGTGAAGTTGTAGAAGGTATTATAATAAATAAAATAGTTTGGCGAGCTCCACACATCGAAGTATCAGATCGTGAAAGGATCAGCCTATTAAAACTTTTAGAGAAAGATAGAGCTATTCCATTGGTATTCCGTTCCTGGGCCTTATATGAATATCCATTGCTACCCAAAACACATAAACATACTTGGTCTATAAAAACTTCATCGCAAATAGAGAAACCACGATTTGTGGTCATTGCCTTGCAAACCAACCGCAAACATAACGCGAAATTATCAATGGCAGAGTTTGATCATTGTCACGTACGAGATGTAAGAGTCTTTTTAAATTCATCATATTATCCTTATGAGGGGCTGAATGTCAGTTCAGAAGATAACTTTACTTTATTATACGATCAGTATGCGAGATTTCAACAGTCGTATCATGGACGCCGGTCAGAGCCGTTGATGGGTTTAAAGGAGTTCAGAGATGTGGCTCCATTATTTGTAATTGATTGTTCAAGACAACACGAAACTTTAAAAGGTTCGATCGATGTGAGAGTTGAAATTGAAACAGACCAAGAAATACCAGATCATACAAACGCTTATTGCTTGATATTAAACGACTGTATATTCGAATACAAACCATTGAGTAATATCGTTAAGAAAATATCATGAATAGCAATACAATAATCGTCGATCTTCAAGGCTTCAAAAATAGCAAAAATAAATTTATAGTAAAGGAGTTTGCTATAGCCACTCTAGAGTATACCAATATATTCCTAATTAAACCTCCTTACCCATTCACTTCACTATCTCCTGAAGAGAAAAAACAAATTGGCTGGATTGAAAAGCACAGAGGGTATCGATGGAGTGAGGGCTTTATTGATTATTGAGAGTTTCACAGAATTATAAAGACATATTTGCAAGATAAAAAGATTTTTTTAAAAAGGATGTGAAAAAATTAAATGGGTGCAAGATATTTGTGATGAAAATAATCCTATCATAGATATAAGTTGCTTAGGAACTCCCAATTTAAATGCTCTTTGTGAACTTTATTGTAAAGATACTTTACTGTATAACTGTTTTACTCACAAGAAAATATGTGCGTTAAAAAATATTTTATGTATTAAGAAATGGTGTTTTGAAAACAAAATGATTGTTTGATTTTTAATAAATTATATGTAAATAAATACATCATCTTTTAATTTAAACTACATTTGAGGTCGAGAAGAAGAAAAAAAAATAGTTTCAGACCGTTAACGATTAGTACTTATTATTAAAGTAACTGTTTTTTGTACCACCTTGCATTTTTAGCGATGAAATAGATTAGCCTTCATATTTTGTTGTTATATTATTGAACCATTTGTATTTGAGATTTCGAATGAAACGGTATTAGAAATGGAGCAAAGATAAAAAAAGCGGATCGAGAATTAGACTAAAAATTTAGACCTCTAATGGAGAGAATTGGGGCCTTTAGCGGCATGTAGCTCAAGCGAAGCGAGAAAGTGACGCAGAAGCCCCGATTCACACCAACTCGGCACACCGCCTGCAACTTTACAAGGCGCAGGTTCGACTTCACATGGAATACTGTTCCCATCTCTGGGCAGGGGCTCCCCAGTGCCAACTCCTTCCACTTAACCGCATCCAGCGCAGAGCGGCTCGAATCTTCGACGACCGAGTCCTTTCCGATCGGCTCGATTCATTGGCACTGCGAAGAGATGTTGCATCCCTTTGCATTTTCTTTCACATCTACCACGGGGAGTGCTCTGAATTGTTCGGATTAATCCCAGCCGCCAAATTTCACGAACGCACATCGCGGCAGAACTCCCGATACCATCCACACCATCTGGATGATTGGCGGTCCACCACTGTGCGATATAGAAGATGTTTTCTTCCTCGCACGACTTCCTTGTGGAATCGGTTACCATCAGCGATTTTTCTGGACCGATACGACTTAGGGACCTTCAAGAAAAGAGCCTATTCCTTTTTAAAAGGCCGGCAACGCATCTGCAATTCCCCTGGTGTTGCGGTTGTTCATGGGCGGCGGTAGTCACTTACTATCAGGTGAGCCGCATGCTCGTTTGCCCCCTCTCCTATAAAAAAAAAAACTTAATTCATAGTTGTCATAAAATCGGTTAATAGAAAAAACCTAATGATGTTAAGAATATAATAGCTTTTTTATATAGAATAAGGGTGACGTCCGTACACAGTGTACGTAATGGTAAATTTATATGTTATTGTGGCCTATAAAATCCTACATTTACCCTTGACTAATAATCTAAATGCAGATCTCTAGGTACTTAGATGAAATGCCTCGTATCCAGTAAAAAGGGGTCTCCCGTAGAACACGTTAAATGATATAACGTTGTACTATATCCGTGAATTGCGATTATTGATTGACAGATAGATTGTTTCCCCCGGGCTAACTCAATCGGCTCGGGCTTATTCGCAACTCCAAGTCTAATAATAATAATAAAAATAATGTCCTCCAGACCGAATTTCGGTCACGGCGGCCAGTCTCAACGGAGACTAGCCATCGGCGCAGGACAGGATTAAAGTGCCCAAGTGTATGCGCAAGCACAGGTCCACTCTCATTCCCTCACTCTCATAGTCCAATGGGACGGTAAACCGACACGACCGGAGAGAGATCAGGCGCAGGACCCACTGACTTTACGTGCTTTCCGAGGCACAGGGGTGAGACACCGCCAACTTCCTGACTCCGGGCAGCTACTGAGAATTTCTTGATAGAAAAACTCAATAACTGATTTTTTTAGGCCGACCCGGGGTTCGAACCCAGGACCTCATGATCAGCAGTCGCACTACTGCAACCACTAGACCAACGAGGCAACGTCTAAGCGTGTATTTTGAGCGTGAGCAGGAATTATATATTAATCAATCCACCCGAGCTCCTAGAGGCATCTTAGTAATTTTTTAATATAACCAATGACCTCTGGGATCGACCTCGGAGATCGGAGGTACTTAGTCAAATTTGGTCAAATCACCAACCTATTGCCCTCAGACAGCGTGTCCCGTCCTTGATGAATTTATTTAGTTCGAGGATTCACACTCGATTCACGCCGTATTCTACAATCAGATACATTTTGATACCTCCTAGTGCAACTCTTAACGACCGAATCCTACCGGCTCCGCCAGTCAAATTAGGGGAGCACTCAAATGGTTTTTTATAAACTAAATTAAAATTACAATTAAAACTACGTGTTGACGATTTGGAAGCTTCAATTATAATGTCTCAAAATTTTATAAGATTCTTAAAGCTAGCTTAAGCCTACATGAGAGGTCCTTCTCAGCATTACAAAGGAATGCATACGGTTTGGATAAGTAAGTCATCTCTAATCTAACACAGAAGGGTGCGTGGGATGCATAAGTACTTAACTCTGTAGCTGGCAACCGCTGAACAAGCAACTAGAATGTGATTTTCGTTCCTCGTGTATTAAAACACTACCAATTCATGAATACCTAATTATTGTTTTAAAGTATTAATATAGCAAGGAAAATGAAGAAAATTCTAGTACCCTTGCAAATGAGAGTAATAATCCTCACTCGTATAATACTACTAATCCACGAACACCTTACTTTATTATAATATTGCCAAGAAAATGTAAAAAAAATTCAATGTTTCGCAAATGAGAATGATAATCCCCAGCCGTGGAATCCAATTAAACTAAGACTTCATTAAGTAACGCAAATCCCAAAATAACTTAGCACTTTTTATCATACATCGTACTCTAATCCTAAAAATACTGGTCTAAAACGAAGAAAATTGAAAACCCATAGGAACTGTGGATTTTTTCCGAATATAAAGTATAGGACCTATGAAATCTGTGTAGTTTATATGTACGTGGTAGAGCCATGCTGCAGCTATATTAGTAGTATAGTTGTAGCACGATTAGGAGGGCTCGACCAGGGAAAGGCCACGCTCTCACAGAATACCAGCATAAAATAGCGGCTTAACGCTGCTGTGTTTTGCATGGGGAGTGTAGAAACCGGAGACCCATTTTACTGGAAAAGAGACATTCCATCTTAGTCATCACGGGTGACGACGCAGCTGCATTTTGATTCTTTATTGAGGATATAGATGTCTATGGGTCACAGCAACCACTTACCATCAGGTGGACTGTGTGCTCGTTTGTCACCCTTATCCTATAAAAAAATCTCTATACCGAATTTTATCAAACTCCATTTTAGTGGAAACAGGGAATTACACTTCTATAAGTATGATTGCATAAAAGTCAAAGGGACCATGCATATATCCGAGATAAAAATCCCCCGCGTAAAAATAACCAAAGTTATTCTTAAGCCACATCATCATCATCATCATCATTACAGCCCTTCACAAGTCCACTGCTGAACATAGGCCTCCCCCAAGGAATGCCACAAAGCACGGTCCTGAGCCACCTGCATCCATCGACTTCCTGCATATCTTACCAGGTCGTCACTCCATCTGGTGGGGGGGCGTGCTACACTTCGTCCGCCGGTACGAGGCCGCCCCACGAGAACCTTGTTTCCCCATCGGTTGTCGGTTCTTCGAGCTATGTGGCCGTCCCATTGCCACTTCAGCTTACTAATCCGTTGGGCTATGTCTGTCACTCTGGTTCTACTGCGGATATCCTCATTTCTAAGTTTATCACGCAGAGAAACTCCGAGCATAGCCCTCTCCATAGCTCGCTGAGCGACCTTGAGCTTGATCATACGGCCAGCAGTGAAGGACCGCGTCTCAGTTCCATAGGTCGTCACTTCTTAAGCCACGCTGCAGCTTTATTATGCTTGTAGCATGAATGGGTTGGCTCGACCAGGAAAGGACCACGCTCTCAAAGACTACCAACGTAAAATTAACCAACCCACAGCACGATTAATATGGGGTAAAGGATATTTTACACCGTCACTATACCGTGCAAGCCTTGTTTAACACGAGACAAAAACCAAAAACATTAAGACATTTTAATTTCATTAAATATAACACTTACACAAACAAAGAATTAATTTAATAGCATTTTGTTTGTGTAAGTAACAATAACACAAATATTAGACCGTGAATATTTTCTTTCGTTTATTTATTTGTGGAATACCCTTGGGATATCTCGAAGATAAGTTTGGTAAGAAAATGTGGTCTTACATATCTCGTATTAAATCTCAGAATTAAACTCTTCTCCCTCGAGACTTTAAGAGATAAATTAGGAGATTAATATTCTAAGAACTAATAACTAATAATTACAACCCACCGCTTCAACTTTCTATATATCTTTTCAGACCCCAGAAACCCATAAAATTGTGAACAAAGTCCGATAACAAAAGCAATTATAGTAATAAATTACTAAATTCGCGCTATATTTTTCTACTTAATGTTAATAATCATATTAATAATTCTTGTATCAACACAACAGACCCAGGCCCAGTTGTGAGCGTTTATGGACTGATATTGAAGAAGATTCAGAAATCAATGTTTCTTTTAACATTGATACACCTAGATCAAAATTTTCCACACTATATGTTGACAGGTAAGGATACCTATAGGCATTAAATTCGTCCTTTATTTTATTTATTTATTGAAAAAGTAATACAATAAAGATGTCAATAAATAATACAACCTAAAGCGGACTTAAATTTTCCACGAAGATGTATAATTCAAAATATACTTGGTAAAGCCTCCTCACATT